TATTTAATGTAGAGACTGAGGTTATTAAAATGAAACTGCATGTCCAACTGCTTTTGATACTGTCTTTCTATAGCATTGTTCAACACGATTACCCATTCCATTAAGTGTTGCTGATCATTAACTTGTAAGAAATATTTTCTCTTCTCTTTTCTTTTCTTTTGGGGAGGGAGGGTGGAATTTTGCTCTTGTTGCCCAGGCTAGAGTGCAAATGGCATGATCTTGGCTCCCTGCAAACTCTGCCTCCCAGGTTCAAGCAATTCTCCTGCCTCAGCCTCCTGAGTAGCTTGGACTACAGGTGCGCACTGCCACACCCAGCTAATTTTTGTATTTTTAGTAGAGACGGGGTTTCACCATGTTGGCCAGGCTGGTCTCGATCTACTGACCTCGTGATCCACTGACCTCGTGATCCACCTGCCTTGGCCTCCCAAAGTGCTGGGATTACAGGCGTGAGCCACTATGCCCGGCCATATTTCTCTTTTCTGTATTTATTTTTAAAACAAAGCAAAACAAACAAAAAATAGAATTCTCCCCTTGGCTTGGTTTAGTTGCATTGTTAACCTTTGGAATGTAGATAAATTTAATGTCTCCAACACACATTGATCCAGAAATATATTTAGTGGCATTATCCATTTACAATACCAAGCTATCCTTTCGGATATTCACTATGAAAGCCTCCAAATATTTCTTTTTCTTTTTCTTTTTTTTTCCCAAGACTTTAGCTTCTACTTCATGAATATTTCTTTTTTTATTTACTTCAATGTCTAGAGAACCACAAATGCAACTGTGACTAACAGGAACAGCCACCAGGTTTACCTTTTTAAGGGTCTGGGCACCCTGCTCTGTTCCCTGGCCCCAGGATGTACCTTAACAAATACAATATCCTATAGAAGTCAAAATAGGCATGGGGGAAAAATATCTCATTACAGTAAACATAAAACTACCCATGACAAAGCTGCTGGGAATTCTGTGCATGTAGCTCAGACCATGACATTTGACCTTCATGCTTTTGCTTAAGAGTGGAGGAGCTAATTTCTCATTGCCAGTAAGTATTTACTACTCATGGCACAAAGAGAACAACAAATTAAGGAAGTCGTCATGGAACCCAAAGGAAGCTGACAATGACAGATCCAGCGTCTGCAACAGTAAGTTCAAGTACTGGAGCCAGAATGCTTTGCAAACAGAGCTAACCAGCTGCAGGCTGAAAGTGGGGCTGAAAACGTACCTAGCTTCAGGTTTAGAGGACAAAAGGAACTGTAATTCATTTCCATCAAAATACTGGAGTAACACTCACAGAGCTTTTTTCTGAATTTTAAAAATAGCACAAGTATGTTTTCAGCTATTTAAACAAACCAAAAACAACAAATCTGCCCATGAAGGGAATTTTTCTGGGCATCTGTAAATTTTTCTTCTGTCTTCTACTTCATAAGAACAACTTTGCATGACTGCTACCCTAAGATTTGTGTCACCCACCAGCTGTCTTTGTTCCTCTCAAATGAACTGATTAACATTTTTATGAGTGAGGATTCTAGTTGGATAACTGCCAGTTTTAGTTATGCACTGATCTGAACTGGCTTCATCTGCCATCACAAAAGGGGAAAGGTGAGAAGCCTAACACGTGTAAGACATGGTTTCAGGTATGGTCCTGCTCAGGCATTTTACAGAAACTGTGGTTCTGCTCTGGGGGACCCCTTTCCCCATACTGTGGCTACAGATGATTGTCTAGAGATGGGCATGTGGTCTAAGGGCCATAGTGCCATAGAATCTCAGCCAATCAGATTTTGCTTCTCAGGAATCCGAACGAGTGAACTGAGGTGCAGTTCTGTTCAGTAGTAGGAGCAATTTCACATTCCAGGCATGAGGAGTGGTGATAGCGGTAGGGAAAGACAAGGAAACAGACAAAGTGAGGAGGCGGGAGAGATAAATGTACAGCTTAAGGCATAGCAATCTTGAGATATGAGACCTCATGGACCAGCAGAAATGCAGCTGGTAACCTTAATTCTTGACTTTAAAGGTCTCAGGCAAATTCCAGTGAGGACTGGCTGTACTTCCTGCCCTGGCAGTGGGTGGGATTCTCCCAATCCAACTCACTCAAGAGGTTTTCTACCCTCACAACCTAAGGTGCTTGAGCAGAACCCCAAAGAACATTAGAAGTAATTTCTTGGGCCGGGCGCGGTGGCTCAAGCCTGTAATCCCAGCACTTTGGGAGGCCGAGGCGGGTGGATCACGAGGTCAAGAGATCGAGACCATCCTGGTCAACATGGTGAAACCCC